GGCCCACGTGTTGGACGCCCCTCCTTTAGGCCGCCTCAGTCTGATTCGAACATCCAAGGTCAACCTGGATAAAACTCCCACATCCTTCTTCCCAGAAGACGTTTGCAGCTTTGGTTGCCGATTTTGTGAGAATGAACCAACTTGTGCCTCAGACGCAGCACTATACATTTTTCCAAACTGAATCGAAGTAGATTCTGGACAACGCAGTTTAGCGGTTAAACACTGAAAGCAATACTTGTGGTGAAATGCAGTTCTGAAGAAAAGAGTGTCGTGTATCCTTGCGAACAACTTCACGACATGCTAATGCAGCGCCCAGACCTATGCTCATGAAATCATGGATTACAACATGGCGAAATCATGCCGACCGTTGGCTATTGCCACAATAGTAATAAACTTGCTTTTTTCGCAAACCAGCGCCATAATGTTCTGGGATCCCACTATTAATCCACGAACTTCTTAAGTGAGTAAACGACGAAAATTTTGGTTGTACTTTATTCTAACCACACCTTTTACTGTTCCAAAGCAGCTATGTTTGTAGGTATATTTCGTCGTGCCTTCACTTGTATGCCTCCTTCTAGCGGGAATATTCCATTTATTTATTTAAAACTTCAGTAGCGTAGCCATTGTACTGACTAATAACGCAAGTGCTTTTTATAATTGCATTGAAGCAAGAAATGTAGATATGTATCTTTTCAATATATTGTACGATCAACATATGCAGAAACAAACGGGGGTAGGTTAAATGTCTCGGTTTGCCGTGCAAGAAATCTGGAAGCGTCTCGGTTTGGCTCATCAATAATCTGGCCACCTTACATGCACCGTACCTAACAGGTGCGTCACCACCGCTGAATCTCACAGTAGAGCATTAGACGTCGCCGTGAAATGCGCCTCAGGTGTTCCAGCAGCGTTGTGTGCAGTTCGCTCGCGGTATCTCATATACACACATATTCACAGTTATTGTGAATACATTTGTGAACACCGTTAGTCATCTTATCTACGAAAAGTGTGTATTTCAGATACACCATTGTTGAACAGATCCCGAGTTTTATTCCTTGGTTAGTGCCGTCGGAAAGGAAAAGGTAGTTCCTTCTACCTATAATATTCTTATCGTCCCAATCCATTCCGCTGTATATCTTCAATGTGATTTCAGCATATTGTGAAACGTGGCTTTCACTACCGGTTTCGGGTGTCCACTATCCAGGAATTATCTTACTGTCTATTTCCTTCTCTGTGCACATGGCCTTATCTGTGAAACACAGAGATCGGAATTGTAGTACTGTGTCCCATCTGTGTCAGTCGGTTGACGATATATCGGTTCGGAAGCTAATCATTCTTGCAAACTGAGCAGTCAAGGAATGGTGATGTGCTACTCTATGGTGGGCGATTTCCGATTCCTCACAAACTAGCTTTTCTTATCCACTTTTGTGTTCAAAATGTGCCATCCACTTGATACCAACAACTTTTGGCCATTTACTGGAGTTTGCCAGTACTATGTACAACATAGTGGACATTGGCGATCTAATGATAACATCATGTTCTTTAGTGCCTACTTCCGACTGAAACCCGAGCTAGAACAACATACCGCAATGTCACTGTCGGTTGTCTCAACCAACTTAATTTTCGGTCACTCCCTAGGTTAATCTCTTCAGTCAAACGGTGTTTCACCCTACCCAGTGCAATCGATACTGTCTCGTAGTAGAGTTGATTTCATGTCTGGTTGTCTGCGCGTAACAGTGAGCACGCGGATGGCCGCCCACTTCTGCGTTGTGTGTCTTGATGCCGCGTAAGTGAGTGGGTGGAAGTTACAGTACTTCCTCAACCGCCCATAGATGCCGCGTGCTAGTCCGCACCCATCCTACAGTGAATGAGCTCACGTGTTGTTTTCGCGTTCACTGTGCCTCACGTGGTTTGTTGGCTGAGCGCTGCACCAACCGATGCAGACGTTCTGAGTACACTTGTACTGATTTGCAATTGGTCAAGACGATGGATTCAGCTTGATGTGGTTAGAAATTGGGTTGAATATTCTTAAGGAGGAGCTTGATTCCGTTAAGGACTGGCTTGCTTCCGAAAAGGTATAGTGCTGGGAAGAGTAATTCGTACGCGGTTAAGTGAAGTCTAAATCTAAAAAAGCTACGAACCCTACTGAATGTGAAAGACGAGCTGATTACCAATCTAAATACAGAAGACCAGAAAAAACGTGGCCCCAGAAACCTTAATTCGTGTAAAACTACCTAGTTCCCAGAAAGGAAATAATAAATTCGGACCTCCTACACTTGTGGAATCTGTGTATACGTCAGGAACATACAAATTGGCAGATGGAACGCGAATTAATTCGAAACGCTTGCATACGGCACTATCTCAAAGTACTTCTCCATGACTGACTACCTCGACTGCAGTAACATCACGAACAGCAAAAAGGCTACGGAGGATCAAGCCAGATGCGTCTCCCTGTGGACCGGTATGTTTTGATGGTAACACAAAGTGATGTTTGCAACAAAAGAACCGTGTGTAAATTTTTTACTACTTTATGCAAGCAATCAGAGCTTAAGTGATGACACCAAGTGATCATCTAATTATAAACAAAGGGGACAGTGGTTTTGCCATATTACTCTCTACTCTCTTATCGCTATTAATTTGTCGTGAATCATATGCCCACTTAGCGATCACTGGAGGAATGCGAGCTTGCTTCTGATTGGCTTGTGTGAATGGTTTAATTGTCACAACCGCTGTTGCGTGTTCATAGTGCCCATACTACTTGCTTTCACAGACACCACGGGGCTGCTCCCTTAGAGAAAGGGAAACTGGATTTCCGCAGTCGAGCACTCACGGCGACCGACCAGCGCTAGGTGCAGATTGAGGAGGTGCTCGCGACAGTCTATGCCATGGAGCGTTTCAACGATTATACTTTCGGAAGAAAGACAACTGTGTAAACCGGCCACAAACCACTTGTGTCGAGAACCAGTATAATGTTGCACATCATCCCTCGTCATCTTCAGCGAGTACTTACTTATACTGCTTCAAAAGCATGACATGGATACTGTGTACACGCCTGGTGCACATATGTTCATCGTGGCTACGTTCACGAGCTCAACTGCCAGTATCCTAGCATTATCCGGGAGAGGTCGGAGCATCTGACAGTGACGGAGGATGGTCTAAAAGAAACAAGGCGCCACGCAGAGGAAGATGCAACGTTTCCAACGTCGCGAGACATACTAAACAGGTGACCAGAGACAAAGAAGCAGCTGTCGAAGGAACTAACACCCCACTAAAATTTCCGGGATGAAATTAGTGTCTATGATAGTTTGCTGTTCAAGTGAAGTCGTACTCTGATCTCGTCATCGCTTCGTGAAGAAATGCTGAAATACGTTCATCATGCTCATCTTGGTGCTAACTATACCATTAAGCGAGCAATTGACCTTTTGATCAGGAATGACGGGTTTAACCAGGGATCATGTGTCAAATTGTGAGGCATGCTATTATCACGAAACTCGGCGGATGAAGGAACCAATGATGCTCCATGATGTCTCTGATCGACCGTGTCAGAAGGTGGCGGTGAATTTATTCGGTGACAAGGGGAAAGAATACTTACAATGGATTACTATGGTAATTATTTTGAAATTGATTTACTCACCACTGCGACCACATAAGCAGTAAGTAACAAGCGCAGATGTTAATTCGCGAGGTATGAAATACTGGAAGAGCTGGTTTCCGACAATGATCCCCAGTTTACTAGTGCTACGTTCCAGGCCTTCGCAAGCAAGTGGGAATTTGTGCACCAGCAAACCAGCCCATATCACAGCCAACCGAATGGAAAGGCGCAGTCAGCAACGAAGCAAGCCAAATGACTGTTATCAAAAACTAGAGCTACTGCGAAGACCCGTACCTCATGCAACGCTCCTTCCACGGATGTCGGATTGAGCGCGCTGCAGCGCCTATAGAGCCGAAGGACTAGAACTCAGATACTGGCATCTGCCACACTTTTTCGCCCAGTTTCGCCACAGCATGAGAGGTTACGGAACAGTTTGAGAAAACGAATGACCACCCAGAAACGGCCCTACGACCGCGGTGCACAGGCACTACCTAAGCTAACAGCGGGAGTGAAGTGTAGGTTCAACCATTACCCGACAGCCAAGAACAATGGATGAAAGGTGTGGTGACTGGGAGGTCATACGAAATGAATCTTGAAGGGAAGACGCTCAGGAGAAATTTGGTTTCATTTGAGACGACACCGCAGACAGCAAAAAGGATGGGGAGGTGAGCGACCTATGGCGTGGGGCAAGAGAAGCACGGCCGCAGATACAGCGAAAACGACGCGGAGTAGCGAGGTGTATAGTAATGTGGAGCCGCAAGGACATGAATAAACGGGGATGTGATTGGAATGTCATACCAGTGTGAACGAATGGACCAACCGAGCGAGACAGACAGTCAATGACGGGTGTAACGGATTCGATTACTGAACACGGATTGACCGACATGCGTATGAGCAACTCAATGTTTGTTTAGGTAAGTCGAAGGAATTCCATCGACTAAGTAGGGTCGTCAGTTATGGACGTAAACGTGCAAGTTTTAGCGGGGAGTTTGGCTGTAATTTTCGCCGTTGACTTTGTTGAATAAACGCTCGTCCCTGAAGGGCTTGTAATCCAAAATGCATGAAAGCACAGTGTCGGAGAGAAAGAATCATTATTTGAATGAGAAGATTTGAGTCAATGGTGCATAGCCTAAGGATCAAGTTGTTTCAGGAACATTCACTTTAGCCGCATGACGCGCCACTTACCTCCCCACTGGCTAGCGGAACTGAACTACCAATCAGGACAGTTGACCTAGGTATCCTTAATGTGAATACTCTTGAACTGACCTATAAGTGTCTTTTTTGCATCACTTGTTCCAGCTTACAGCAGCTGTTTCTGCAACATGCTGTGCCTCCACGAGTTGACATCTGATTTTAGTTGGGGTTCGGAACTAGTAAAGGGCGAGATGAGTTCAAATGGAAGCAGTTAAAATGAGGCAGATTTAACACACATAGATTGTTTTTGTTCTTTCTACACACCTTTGCAGAAGCAGGAGAAAGGTTGAAGTACCGGAGGCTTTGGCTTGCATGCGGGTGCAGGAAGCAGGATATTTGTTAGGTAGAGGTCTAAGGCAAAAAACAGAATTGAACTAGAGTACGCAAATGTGGGAACTGCGGTGTTACCAAAAGCTGTTTCATTGAGACCAACTTTCGAGGAGCTCTGGACGCGCGTTAGACACGAATCGGACTGTGTTGATAAGGCGCATAGTAGACAGAATTCTCTCAAAGAGCGGCCGGCTGAGTATCCTCAGAAGAGTCAAAAACCGGAAATGAATGCATAAGAATGTAAGTGAAAATGTCGCCAGTACGATCAATAAAATGGCAAACAGAGCATCGTATACCGTAAGATCGATTACGCTGTACACCGGTGGATAGAACACGTAGAATCACTGAGCTGCCTGCTTCCCGAGAGTGGCTTCTTTTCTGGACGCATTCTGCAGTTCAACTGTATCACATTCATCCGCCGGCAGTTGGACGTACCGAACGATAGAACCACGGATGAAACAATTTTTTACCGATAACTAAAGTAAAATAAGAGCGCGCTTGATGTTACCATGTGTGGATGCTTTTCGGGATCCGTGACACTAATGTCCATAAGTCTGAAATTGTGATATTGGTCGACCGAATGCAGTGTGCCACAAATGCTTGCGAATAAAAATACGACAGTAAAGCAGTAACCCACCATAAATCATTTTTCAGCTCGATAAGAACATCCTTCCCAACAAGCGTCTTAAAAAATGAGAAAAAAAGCTGAATGAAGCATGAGTGAAGAGGAATCGAGAAGACAAACCATGAGTGAGGAGTAATGTGCGTCCGGTTAAGAATTCCAAAGATTTCCGTGCTCAATGAGCATGCAAGTCGTGAAAGACCTGGGGGACTGAAATACAGAACAAACACTTCGAAAGAAATCATATTTCGGAATACGCTTGGAACGGACCGAGATTTTATGATTATAGAAAGTTCTAAATACAAATCGGTTTTTGTAGGTTTTTATTGTGGCAACGTTTCATATGTGACGCAACAGCTTCCTCTTCCAACTTCGTAGGGGGTTGGACAAAACCATTACGAAACACATCGATGAAAGGTGCGCGAGTTAGAGGCTGAGCCTGTGGTGAGTTGGTGCCGCAAACAAACACGGGAGTTGGCTAAACTAACAGTACTGTAAACGAAATGAAAAGGTATGCTCAAGTTCAATTGAGACCGGAGTGACAGGTTAATCTCATAAGTGTTCGTACTTCAACGGATCGTTGAATCAAGAGCCGATATGTCATGTTGAAATCCGGATTAACCTAAAACAAAATTCGCATCGCACCACGTACAACCAACTACGGCGCACTTGTACTGCATTAGCAGTTCCTGCTAGGCCAGTTAGGTGAAGTAAGATTGAGGAAACAGTAAAAGCAGAAAACAGGAAGAGGAATGAAACTAAATACTTATGACACAAAGGTATGGGGAAATTATAAAAGAAAATAAAACTTGATTAGAAGGAAAGTTTGGTGTTGCTATCCAAAAGCATCGACCTGACATCAAAAAATCCTCACGCGCAGATTCCATAACCGCGTACTCTAGAATTGAGTCCCAGCGCTCGACAACTTAATGTGACAAACGAGTTTCCGTCCTAATCCGGTTAAAGTGCAATGTGTGCCGCTTCAACGGGTGAGTTCAGAGAATAGGTAACCGGCCACCAGTTGGTTCGGTGCAGCTGTACCTTACAGAGTGTGCCTCTGAGTTAAGAATAATGGAACGCCTTCCTTTCGAAAGTGAGTGTGATTAAGTTTCAGCTGTTCGCAAGCGAGATTATCAAGCAGTCAAGAACAATCAGCCATAGCGTCCTAAAACAGGGTAGACTTTGGGCTGGTCACTTAGTTTTCCATTGTATACCACAAGGGCTCGTACGGACCTGTGCCGAAGCAAATGTGACAGGTCATAAGATCAGCGCGCGGTCATTTCTGGTACCTAACAAAGGGCATATGAACAGCCTCGACGATTGCTGGCGTCTGCGAAGCGGTATGAGCCCCCTGGCTGTCAACTGACTTCGTACCTGGTGGCGAGTTCGATGGTCCAGGAAATCTTTCGTGGCTTCCGTGCTGCTGTACTAAGGTTCTTTTCCCGCATGACACGAGTGACCAAGAAATATCGGCTGGAGCTCCTTGAGTGACCGTTTTTAGGCCCCTGACCGTTCCATTTAGACACACAGTGGACACACGGAAAGTTTTCCGTATATCCCTAACACACCGTGAGCGCATTTTCCTGGTTGTAAACATTACCAAAACTAAGCGAAACTCGATTCCCAAGTCGTATTTACGCAATACTAAAGCCGTAAGACTGAACAAAAAAGTTTGGGTGACCGAAATTCGCCTCGAATGTGCCTCACTAGGATGGACAGGCATGAAAAAAGCGGTTACTTGGCGGCAAGTTATCGGTCACTTGCGATGACTGGAAATACAAGTTCATTAAAAAGTAAAGAGTTATGAGTAAAGACCGGCGGTGTTAATGATGCATAATAATATCTAACATATCTGGACGTATTAGGCTATTTTTGTCACTTTCTTTTACCTCTGCGAACGACCAAAAACACCCAAATCAGACGGCTGACCATCCATCTGTGCGAACAAGGTTGACCCTTTGAGTAGTTCGCCTGTACTCGAAAGTTGTGCTGTCCTCGCTTCGGTAGTTGATTTCAAGCGGTTCACGAACTAGCATAATCGCCCCATTACATTATGTAGCTGGTCTTTATAACCCGAAGCGCCGTGCAAAATTTCCTAAGACAACTCTCTTTCCCTGTCTGTGTGTAATCAGGAAGCAGTATACCCACACAACCTATGGATTTATGTTTCAATCGCTTTGATCATTCTCTATGCTCTTCGAAAATGATACTCTCAGTCGAGGTGTAGGCAGCCGAATCTGCTAAACTGCGCTCTACTGCACTACCGTCCACGTACGTAAATATACCTTTTTCAGCCTAGGGTTCCAAGCACACAACACCTGGACGCCTTGGGCGGATGTTTTTGCCTCACGGATCAGGAACTTAGGTCTGAGAGTGCGGCGCCGAATCGTAAAGGCAAGCGTGTTCTAACGCCCCACTCCCAATTCAAGCTGGCTTTCTTCAATGCTCGGAGGTTGACATAAATTGTAATACAAATAGACCTCACTCGCACCCTAGAAAATGTTGTCATTTATATTGGCTGCCTCACTGCGACTTGTTCACAGTACTATCGCATAACGTTACAATTCGCTTCCCCCTCTGCGAGTTCCGCTGGTCATGCTGACGTGAGAGTTGCGTTGAGCAAAAGTGATAAGGCTGTGCTACTAGACCGGATCTCTGTAGATATCCAACTGTGCACGAGTTGACTAGGAAGTACGACCATCTAGCCATGGATCGAAAGAACGTTATCTGTCCACTTTACCAGCGTATGCTTCCGCAAATTTGAGTCCGGAGTCAGAGATCAGTTATACTGTCAATTCACCTATCTCGGAAAAACGCGACACACGGAAATCGTGGTGCATACCGGAGAGTTGAACATGCAGACCTGTAAAATTGAAGTTGACGAACGCGAACTTGAGGATCAAAATAACCATAAGACAGATCGATAACGTCAGCTCTGCGTCGATCATGGTCTATTTCTATCAAGTACTAGCCTTTGTTGATCTTGGCACAAAGCACCACTTGGAGACTCCTATCATCTAACCAGCCATGGACGCAAACACATCATATCGTCATCAGTTACCGTTGGTAGGGCTGCATACAGGCTTGCGAATCAATTTGGAGTACCTACTCAGTTCGGATTACGTGCTTGTGAGTGTTAAGCTAGCTCTACGCTTTGATGACACACAACGATGGCGCCGGAAACGGAATGAGGTGGTTAAGCTTTATGCCCAAAAGTCCTCAGTGTGTCTTAAGATGCGTTGGGCTAAAACCTCAAGAGTGCTTTATGCTCAGACGTTGGGATGCATTGCACGCACATTCGGAACGTCATGCATAAGTGTGACCATGACCTGTGGTTACAGTAGTAGTTCTGTCAAGCAGCAAATCTCTGTACAATCTCCTCAGCTTCTCGAAGCCGGCCTGCTGGTGATGGATATCATTCGCTATGTAAGATTACCAACGCCGAGCTCAAGAAACTCCTCCGGGAGGATATCTAAGTCTGGTGGACGCCGTGGGTCAACAAGATGGGGCAAGTGGTCACCTCGGGGAATTTCCGTAAGCTTCTCCCCCTGAATTAATCCACTGGCGGTAAGACGCTGATTGCAAGGAAAGGTTTGTGCGAATCCGTCGTCAAGGTTAACCTGTGCTTTGGGTTGAGCATTCCAGAAAATGGTTTAACCATCCAACAGCACCGACGAGTTCCTATTCAGAAACCCAGTGGCCTTGGTGTGTAGACACTTGACCACCAGCTGAGGCGGAGATTGCACATGAATGTCGCCTACTAAAGCATTACAAAGCAACTGATCCAGACGGGCATGCTCCGCATCGTTTATCGTCTTATGCTTAAGTGATTTGAGTCAGCGAAGTAGTCCCGCCTGATTGGAACCTGGACGATATCGTACCCGTCTTCAAAAAGAGGACCCAAAGAGACCGGGTTTATCATCGAGGGGTTAGTCTTAGTTAAATTGCGTTCAAAGTGATCACTTCCCTGATTAAAAAGACAGTCTGGTTTGCGAACAGAACATACGCGGAGAATAAGTTGGGTTCAGACCAGATCGGAGCTGCATTGGTCACGTCTTTCCAATCCGAATTAAACCCAAGTATCGTAAATGCTCGTAGTTTTCTTATGTCTACAAGCTGTGTTGCTCCCTGGAGTTGTTTGTAGATATTAGTGCTTGTTAAGTATGTCAACACACTTCAAGACAATCATTCTCGAACCTCGGGAGAGTACGGGAGTACGGCAGGCTTTCGCCATCTACAGTAACCCTAGTGGCATGAGGTGGATATGCCCAACATCTCCCCTCCTATTCAATTTCATCATGAACAGTATCCTTGAGAATATCATGGACAATTGCTTACCTATTGGCGTTGAGCTACTTCTGGTTGACAGACTTCGCGATTTTGAGTATGTTAATGACATCGCCGTAATTTGTGATCCCTAGTATATTGCCCGAAACACATTACGTAGATTGGAGGGGCATGTCTCCCAGTTCGGAATGACTACCGTCCGATGAAAGTGAAAGGTCTTCCTGCAGGACTGGCTAGGAGCTACTCCTAGATTTACCCTTTTGGGTTATCGTACGGATGTAACATACAAATTAGTTTACCTCGGACGCTGTCTCAGTGTAAACAGTTTGATGGATAAGGTTTCCATGCATGTCATTAAGGATTGCGTTGCTTTTGATAATTTCTAACATCACAGTCCTTTTCCTGAAGGGCGGTCTACAATGCTACGGAGAGAGCGGTACTACTTTATGGTTGAGACCTGGTCTGTTAGCGTAAAATGTATGTATGTAATGTATGTAATCTCAACAGTCTAGTAACTAGACATAGAGCCAACAGAGCCATGAAAATCAGTGGATAAGAGACAGTCATTGCGTCATAATCATCGTGGCATGCTAGTTAAAGGTGGGCAACACACTTCAGCTAATATGCCGCAAGAAAATGGAACATTCTGACAAAAATACAGAAAACATTTTTAGTTTGTTTTTCACACGCCGATTTTGCTCTTTCTTGTCACTTTCAATGTTGGTAGTATGAAACGTGAATCAATACAACAATGTACACAATTCTTCCACCGATTCCGGTTGCGGGCCATGTCTTCAAGAGTCCTAAGCCATTGGCACTCCTCATCTTTGGGCCCTCATCCTGGAAGACGTACGGGTCCAACAGCGGCTAGACACGACGTCAGCGATTTCATGTGCTGCCGCCAAGTGGAAGGATGACCACCACGC